GTGTGTGTGTGTGTGTGTGTGTTGTGTGTTTGCGCGCGCGCGCGCGTGCGTGTGTGAGTGTGTGTGTGTATACATATACATATAATATGTTGTAATTTTTTTCGCCGTCTTTAATTTAATATTCGTTTAAAAACATTTATTATGCAACAAAAACATCGTATTTGGACAAAGTCGAAGACGATACACAAATTTTTATTTAAAAAAGCTATATATATATATATATCCTTTATTTCGGGTATACTAGTAGAAACCGTACTTAAACAGATTACGACGACAGCGTGAAAAGAATATGCGCATTACAGATATTCATATTGCATTATCGGGTAGATTAGTTTCCGATTCTCTCTCTCTCTCTCTCTCTCTCTCTCTCTCTCTATTTTAATATTTAAAACTTCTGAAAAATTCAAAATGTGACCTATTTTTTGTTCTTAGCGCAAGTTTCGTAACAAGCATGCTGATCGCGTGATATTTAACATTATGATTAAGGAATTTTGTCAAAAAAAAAAAAAAAAAGCTTTATATCAGCGTAACCGTTTTTTATCAATCTTAAATAGAGTTTATAATTATAAACGTTGAGATGTAATTTATATACACGCATATATGCAATATAAATTCAAAATTGATAAAGCAATGTATTTGTTATACCGATAGCGTAATATTTTTTCCATATACACGTTTTTCTTTAGGGCAGCTGTTACGACTCCATACAACACAGACTTCCAAGAAACGTCCTAAAGACGTCCAGAAGACGTCCCTATGTCCTCTGAACCTTCTAAGGACGTTCCCAGAATATCTCTCGAATAAAGTGTTGCATGGAGACCTATTAAGTTTTTACACAGGTTGCACAGATTTTTTGTAATTTTATGTGTGATAAATTTAAGTGCGATATATAATTTTATTACCTATATAACACGAATGTAAAAGTCGGTTGCGTACGTTAATTTCATAAATCTGTTTAAATAATAAACTGATTATGTTAAAATAAATAAAAAAACTGATTGCTCTCCGTGTCTACGTCTACACATTCCGACACAATTTATTTATTTATAACAATTTTGTTAATGGTTAAGCTCATTTTAGACGATCTATAATTCGCGTCAGAATCAGGATATTTTGCTTAACCTTATTACATATGTGCCGTATAATACGAAAAACAAACATTGCTCGATATTGTTTTACATTCTACATATATCAATAAAGTTGAAAAATAAAAGCAGCAAGTTTTCTATGCATTTAATAAAAAAGTAACTTTTGTTTTAAGTAAAGTTATATTTAATGCATATAAATATACATATGATGTGTATATACATGTATGTATATGCGTCATGCTAATCGCACAAATTACAAAGTTTTAATGGACTCAATGACTATATTAATTCATTTATCCCTCTTCAATCTTTTTAATCGCGCGTAATAAGCGCGAAATCATAGTTTCACAAAACAAAGAGTTAAGAACATAAATCGACTATATTTTACGTTTGTGAATAGCTGTAAATTATAACAGTTATTTGTAAAGACTGAAACTGTGTTGTAAATATATAGCAATAGTTATATAATTTATCTCGTCCTTTCTTTTTAAATTTTACTCATAATGTGCAACAGAAGTAAAGAAACAGCAAATAAAGCTAGAACTCAATTATAAAGGTTGTAGTCTTTAATTTGTCATCTTTATTTCATTATATTTCTCCTCTTATCCGAGAGAGTAAATCATTGAACTTTCGTTTCTCTTGATAAATTCACAAATCCATTAATATTCTAACTCTAACAATTTTTCTGCGTGATTAATTTCCGATTTAATTTTTCTCGAATTTGTCCTTTTTCAGCATTTTTAAATAACTTCCTAATAATTTTTAAGAGTTTGACTTTCTACAATCTCTTAACGCTTTGCTAATTTTCAAAAGATCGCACTCGGAATCTCTAAACAATAGTTTTATCAAGTTCAATTAATTAATGTAATTACATGATATAAAATTATCATTAAGATGTAAATATTAATATAAAAAAATATACCTACCTATATGTATAGATCCGCATGATATTTTTTATCAGCAATCTTCATTTGTTTTAAAAAAATTAAGAAATATAAATTTAAATTAATGCAATTAATAACAGTGTGCGTTTACTTAACAAAAAAAAAAACAGGTATTTGATAGACGGATTTAACGCTGAAATAATCATGAAGATATCATATCAATAAGTAGAAGCGATTCGATAAAATATTATTTCAAAATATAAAAGTATGAAAAAACAATATTTTTAAAATATAATGAGAAAGAATATAAAAATTTATATAAAAGCGTATCCTTTGCCTACCTGCAAAGATTGGATTCGAGATGAGGGACAGTACACTTGGATGATGGAAGATGTAGAAAGAAATACTCGTGTGGTTCATATTTTCAACAATTTACTCCTAGGCTCTTGTTCTGGCCAGTTGAGACTGAGACCGGCGCGCACTCGCGGTCCCCCCTTTGTTAATTACATAATACATAAAAATAATGATATATACAAATGTAGGGAAAAATGTTAGGCACTCAATGAACAGAACGGCGAAACTATAAATGGTAGCTTTGTCGCGCACACCGTGTGGGCAGATGGTGTTTTTTTTTGTTTTTTTTTTTTACGATGTGCGACTTTTATATCGATGAGATATGATGCGCTCGGAGAGCAGAGAGCGGGAGACAAGTTTTAAGGATACCAAAGTGCGAAAGATAGAGCGCAGTTACGCGACATGGACGCGGCAGAAAAGAAAAACCAACAGTGCGATCGGCTTCTTTCTTTTTTTTTCTCTTCAAATTTTGTTCGCCACTCGACTTGCATCGAGTCCCAAGATCCGATTGTCGCGGTGAAATGACGTGATGGAATGTTGGTCGGGCAACAAGCATTTTCTCTTATGTGGAATGTGCTCCGCGCGAAGTCTCACGATTATCTTTATTTTTTCCTTTTTTTTTTTCTTTAAAAATTAAGTCGCATTATCTAAGTACCGCAGTGTTGTTATACTTTAATAACGCTCCTCCTCGTATCTTCACTGGCCTTCATATTCGTTACGATGAACGGCGTGGACACATTCGAAAGGAAGGACTGCTCAATACTCTGATCTTACACGTATCAACGCGCAATCTTTTTTCCCCATATAATCTGGGCATGTCAGTAGACTAGAGTTCCCGTGTCGTTATAACGTTGGTTGGAATCAAAACGTAAAACTCGCGTAAAACGTCCTATCGTCCGAATTTTTTCCCTCCTCATGTCCGTAGACGCGGTGCTCGCAATATTCGACGATTACACGATCCAATTCCAATCGATTAAATCCGTTTTACCACACGCGCTACTATGCTAAACGTACAAATAAGGACGTAGTATTTGTTGTATGCGAGCGATTTCAGTCGACACTGTCAGTCCGATATAGTCGGTGCCACACCTTTCGATCCTATTACAAATGTCCTCTTATCACTTTATCAATCGGTCGACATACAAACTGCATGATATATCATTGTTTTATTTCCCCCCCCCCCCAAGTACTCGACGTTAAAGTCCACATTACGCAGAATAAAATAAGTTACACGATTTGTCTATTTTTTTCTCATTAAAATATGATACAAATTACAATTATTTATGCTTGGAGTGTAAGAGCCGTTAGTTGTGAAATTAGAAAGCCTTCGTCCTTTTATTCGTGGTGTAAAAACTGTCTTTCCACGGATGGGTTACAATTCGATTTGTACAGTTAGAGCTTTATACATATCCTTGAAGGTACGGTTGATATGACTCCGCATTTGTAATTAAAAATCGGCACGCTCGCCGATGTCAAACAATGCGCGCGAAAAATATCTATTAATTAGTGCGGTAACGTGTTCAAGCCGGACGTGATCGCTATTTCTTATGCACCAGCTAAGAGCCGAAGATTTCTGTTTTCTCGACACGATCGATCGTCGACGGCAAAAAAGGGGCGTATTATACTATATAATAAAGTATGCAAAATAATACGAACGATCGCTGTACATTTGGTCACTCAAGAGTTTGTCCTTAACCATTACTTATCTAAATGTTACGTTTATTAGCAATGCGTATTACACGCTAACGGCCCTT